TAGTGTTGCAATTATCCATGATGCTACCAACCAACTTTCAGACAAATTGCCCAAAGAGATTATGTTTAAAACTTTTGAAAACTCCCACTATAAAAACTCCATAGAAACAATTTCTTTTTATTCCAGCACTCACAACATTCTTCTTTTTTCCTTAAAGTAATCTAATTGAAAGGAATGTCAAGAGAAACTAAACTTAGGTTTTGTTTTTTAAAAGAACATACTTTCAAATCAGTTATTTCCTCCAGGGCAAGCTGGTGAAAAGTCACATAGCTGGACACAAACAAACATCAGTTAATTCATTGATTGAAATGAACTTCTTTCAAAATATTTTAAAACAAGCAACTTAATAAATAGTGCTTATTATTTGCCTTAGTCAACTGAGGTTTTGATAAAGACATTATATTTACAGGATTCCCATGATGTATGAATGAAATTCCCTAATCAAAATCTGAGAACTTAGTGCGACAAATCTATGTTGACTCCTGGTTATTACTGCATTGCTTTCAAACTTAGAGACTATATCATAAAAAGATCTGCATTGTATTCCGGAATTTTCATAGACACCGATGTTACATTGACTGGCTTTTAATTGCCGAATCTACTTTTTCTTCACTTTTTGATGATAGGTGATACAGATTGTCCTTATTTAGCAACTGCTTTGTTTAGTGTTTAACGACTGTTCAGTTAGAATGGTGGTGTAAAAATAACTTTGTGATTGGTCCTTGCATTTGCAACCATTGTAGGTCTGCAAAGCAAAGAAAAATGGAAATCTACAGTGTTTCCCTGAAAATAAGATAGTCTTATTTTCTTTTGACCCTCAAAATAAGCAGTTGGCCTTGTTTTCGGGGAGGTCTTATTTTTGAGGTGCAGGAGGCGGCAGGCATGGTCACTCATGGCTGCTGCTGTGTTGCAATATTTTTGGGGAGGGCTTATTTAAGCACATGTACTCAAAAGCCCGATTCTACTGTACTGTTGTAAAATGGCTTCTACTGTACAGTGCAATGGAGTTGCCGTGGCAAAGGTTTCACAGTACTCCATAAGGGGGCTCCCTCTAGTAAGGGGGAAAATCCAACTTTAGAAATTATGTTTGGTCTGGACATTTCCCCCCTATAAATAAATATCCAGGCAATATCAGGTTATCAGCTATCATAAAAATATGATGTTTCACTTAGTGACTACTTTGCTTAACTACTAAATTGCTAGTCTCAATTGTCACTAAACGAGAACTACTAGTATTTGCTTTCTCATCAGTCATCTGCCATTTCACTATTCCAGACTTCTCAAAGGGAACATATAAAGGCTGGACAGTTCAGTAGCTAGCTCAATTAGTTCCGGAGGAGCTGTGATGGGGTATACAGGACATTCAGAAAGTATTCAGAACCCCTTCACTTTTGTCAATTTTGGTATGCTGCAGTCTGATTCTCCAGTTGTTGACATTCTTTTTCCCCCCTCAGTCTACATTCACCCCATAATGACAAAAAGAAAACAGAATTTTAGAAATGTCTGTAAATTTATTAAAAAGAAAAAAAACAAATAACACATTGGCATATTCAGACCCTTTGCAACAACACTTGAAATTTAGCTCAGGTGCTTCTCATTTCTCTTGATCATTGCTGACATGTTTCTACAACTTGATTGGAGTTGACCTTGATATTTTGATTGGACATGATTTGGAAAGGCACACACCTTTCTAAAGAAGGTCTCACAGCTGAAAATGCTTACTGTAGCAGAGTAAAAGCCATGAGGTCAAAGGAACTGCCTGCAGAGCTCACAGACAGGATTATTGCAAAGCAGAGTTCTGAGGGAAGGCTACAATAAAATTTCTGCACTGAAGGTTCATAAGAGCACAGTGGCCACTATAGTTCTCAAATGAAAGAAGTTTGGCACAACCAGGACTCTTCCAAGTGCTGGTCACCTGGTCAAACTGAGCAATCAGGGGAGAAGGTCCTTAGTAAGAGAGGTGACCAAGAACCCAATGGTCACTCTGATTGAGCTTTAGATATTCTTTGTGGAGATGGGAAAGACTTCTAGAAGGACAACCATCATGGCAGCCCTCCACCAGTCTGGGCTTTATGGCAAAGTGGCTAAATGGAAGCCTCTCCTCAGTGCAAAATACATGAAAATCCACTTGGAGTTTGCAAAAAAGCACCTGAAGGACTCAGATTACAAGGAACAAGAATCTCCGGTCTGATGAAGCCATGATTGAACTGTTTGACCTCAATTCTAAACATTATGTCTGGAGGAAACCTCTGATCACCTGCCCAATATCATCCCAACAGTGAAACGTGATGGCAGCATCATGCTGTGGAAGTGTTTTCAGCAGCAGAATCTGGGAGACTGGTTAAGGTTGATGGAAAACTGAATGGAACGTACAGGGATATCTTCAAACCTGTTCCACAGTGGTCAGGACCTCAGACTGGGCCAAAGGTTTATTTTCCAACATGACAATGATCCTAAGGACATAGCCAAGACAACACAGGAATGGCTTAGGGACAACTCTGTGAATGTCCTAGAGTGGCCCAAAGCCTTGACCTGAACACTATTGAACGTCTCTGAACGGACCTGAAAATGGCTGATCACAGACGGTTGCCATCCAACCTGACTGAGCTTGAGAGGATTTGCAAGGAGGAATGGCAGAAAGTCTTGCAATCCATGTGTGCAAAGCTTGTTGCATCATCCCCAAAAAGACTCAAGGCTGTAATTGCTACCAAGTGTGCTTCAACAAAGTACTGAGTGAAGGGTCTGAATGTGATATGTGTGAATATGTGAATGCCAATGTGATATTTCACTTTTTTCCTTTTTAAAACATTTACAAACATTTATAAAATTCTGTATGGGATACTGAAGGTAGATTGAGAAAAAAAATGAATTTCAAAACTGTAGAATCAGATTGCAGCATAACAGAATTGACAAAAGCAAAGAGTTCTGAATATACCGTATACTTTTTTGTTGTATCAAAATGGTGAATAGTTTTGTATTTTCTTTGTACCCATCTTCACTGAGCAGCTAGTATCCTGATTATTTTTCCTTTTCTTTTGAACATGAAGATGCTCTTTTAGCTTTTTCTTGGGATTCTTTGCCAGCTTTATCTCCCTGTGAACTTTAATCTTTTAGAATTTCTTCAATTCTTGCTTTTTTCTGATATCTTTTTGCATTTACACTTTTTCATTTTCTGTGCAGCCACAATGACTTGTTTCATTGTTCTTCCCCTCCAAAAGTTTGCAATTATGCCTTTGTAAATTAGTACCTCTCTGGAATGAGGGAAGTGGGAAGTGAGAAAAATGACATGGGGTCAATTGAGAGTTGGCAACTGAGAAGAGCTATTGCATTTAAAAAGGGATGCTGCTCATGGGAATGCCAGACTGGCAGAGAAGAAAAGAAGAAAACCAGAAAACACAAAAGCCCATAGAAATTGTGAGCCTAAGAAGACATTCCATGGATTGATGAGAGATTGTTTTGTAACTGTGGATCTGAATAGAGAAGATGGAAGTGGGGAAGCTGTAATTAGTCCAGCTGATTACAGAGCCTTAGAGGTCCTAGGCTGTAAACAGTATGTGGGAATGCCCTTGGGAGAAAGGGAAGTGCCCCTGCTAGGGGAATGGTAAGTTCAGGCAGCTTAATTTGCAGAAGGAACATGGATGACAAACTTCCCACAAGGGACTCCCTGTAGTTCCGTGATGGTGAATGAGTGGTGGGTTTCAAAATTTTTTGGAACCTCTTCTGTAGGTGTGGCCTGCTTTCCTGGTCCACTGGTGGAACCTATTCTAACCGGTTCGGTAGATTTGATGAACTGGTTCTACCGAATAGGTGCGAACTGGTAGGAACCCACTTCTGTGGCGAACCTATGGCATGCTTGCCACAGGTGACATGCCGAGCCATATTTGCTGGCATGCCAGCCATCAGCTGATTTTTGGCTTTTCGGAGGGCCAGGGGCAGCCGTTTTTGCCCTTCGCGGGCTTCAGCAAAGCCTCTCGAGCCTGGGGAGGGGTCATGTGTGCATGAATGGGGGGTGGGGTTGCGCGTGAATGCACAGGTGGGTGGGGAGGGTTGAATTGGTGTGGGCTCGTGTGCGCAAACAATAGCACGCACACACACAATTGTGGCAAGCCATAAGAAAAAAGCTCACCATCACTGCTCTGTTTCTTGGCCTGTAAAGGTGAAGGGGGTGTGTGAAGGGAAAAGAGACAAATGTACTTTGAGATTTGCAAGATTCTATTAATGTAACATTACAATAAAGTAGAATTACTTTATTTGGATGTGCTCTCTGTGTGAAATATCCACAAGACTGACCTGGGACAGAAGAAATGGGGGGCGGGGGGGGGAGAGGAGGAATTACATATCATTTTTATTATAAGACACTCTACAGGGGGCTGCCCTTAAAGACCATGTTCAAGGGGAAAAGAGAAATTAGTATTTCAAAAAGTGTCAGAATTGAGCTGTAAAACAATAAAAAACAGTAAAGTCTCAGTGCAATTTCCTACAGATTTTAGTTTTTGAGCCTTGAACTCTAGTTATTGTTTTCTCCATCTCAACAGTAAGTTCTCCACTTCCCCTGTTCTCACTCCTTGATTTATCACATTAATACTTTACATCTATGGAGATTCTCAACCATACAGGTCATAATTGTCTGAAAAATGCTTTTTCCAAAAAGCAACTGGAATGTTTTTTCTTTGAGGAAGACCTTTCACCTCTTATCCAAGAAGCTTTATTGGTTCTGGCAGGATGATGGGGGCAATGGAAGGATTAGTTCTGACAGGATGGGGTGGGGAAGGGTCATATTGCTTTGTAGTCATCTGTTCATTAGCATTCTCCCTGAGAGCTCTTGAGGCCACTTGGGAGTTTATCTGTTTATCTAGTGATTCCCAAGTGCCCTCAAGAGCTCTCTGGGAGAATACTAATGACCAGATAACTCCTTCTATTGTCCCACCATCCTGCCAGAACTGACAAAACGTCTTAGATAAGAGGTGAAATGTCTTCCTCAAGGAACTTTTCAGACAACTATGAACTTCATGACTGAGAATCTCCACAGAGGTAAAGTATTAATGTAATAAATCAAGGAGTTGAAAGTAGGAGAGGTGAACTTACTGTTGAGATGGAGAAAACAATAACTAGAGTTCAAGGCTCAAAACTAAAACCTATAGGAAATTGTGTTACTGTAACAAAGAAAAAATACATTCTTTTGAGAGGTATATGTTTTAAAATGGACACAAATAAAAAATCACCATGTTTAGTATTGGCGATCAGTACATTTTGTGTCTAGTTGAATAATAAACCACCTTTTGCAATGAAAGCCTTAGGCCTGGCTGTTACCATGTTTTCCCGAAAATAAGACAGGGACCTATTTTCTTTTGATCCCCGAAATAAGCACTTTGCCTAATTTTCAGGGAGGTCTTGTTATTTTTGAGGTGCAGGAGGGGCGAGCGTGGTCACCTCATTGCTGCTGCTGTGTTGCAATATTTTTGGGAGGGCTTATTTTCAGGGGAGGGATTATTTTAACGCATGCGCTCAAAAGCAAGATTGGGCTTATTATCCGGGGAGGTCTTATTTTCGGGAAAACAGGGTACCATCTTGCATAAATGAATGAGTGGCAATGGCTACTTTCTCTTCCTCTTGTGTCTGAATCTTTCACACACTGTATCCTTTAATTCAGTGCTTTCCAAACATTTTCCTTTATTACCCTGAACTGCTTATTGGAAAGTCCTTATTTAAATATCCCTGTTATGATTGGGTAGTGAGGTTCTGTGCAGTTTTCCAACAGAAAAACAACCCACTTTTTTGGGTAATGCCCAGGTTTTGCATGCACTTTTAAAATTGATGCATTCTGGTCATGAGAACCATCCTACCAGGTCTTTATTATGCTTGTTGAATCCTCTTTGACTTACTGTGCTAAGAGCCTAAGCTCATCCTCTCTATTCCCCATATTTTGAAGCATGTATAGATCGTGAACTTTATGGACCAATGTTATGTCTGATTTTCAATGACTTCTTTAAGAAGCCCTATTAAGCACTCCCCACTCCTGTAGGACAATGTTCTTAATTTCTCAGGTCCTTAATTCAGGCTTTTCCATTTCCATTCTCAACAGGGTATAGTTTGAATTGCTTTTAATTAATCTCATTATCCTTAAGCCAAACACATTTTTACCAGTCCTGGTTAGGTAAATAACTCAAAACTCTGGCTGCTACTGCTGTATCTGCTGGATGGCCTAGACCAGGGGTGTCAAATTCATGTTGTCACAGCAGCATAATGTAACATATCTTGGCTTCCCCCCCTTTGCTAAACCAGGTCTGGGCGTGGCCAGTGCGTGACACACCTGGCCCATGGGCTGTGAGTTTGACGCTCCTGACCTAGGCTTTTCTTATGCAAGGGGCTTAGTCTTTTCTTCTCTTTTCCTGGGCCATTTTTGCATCTTGGTGTTCTTTCCACCCTTTATTTTTGAGTCACATATGCGGGCAAATATGAATGAAATCTCCCAATCTGTAATCATTGTCTTTAACTGCTACTCAACGCCAGCAAGCTCCTAAGGGTCTGATGCAGGTGTGAAATGGTACTGGTTGAGACCGGTTCACCCAAACAGGTAGTTCCGACGATCAGCTATGTGACAATCATATTCAATCATGTATGTATGTATGTATGTATGTATGTATGTATGTATGTATGTATGTATGTATATGTATATACACACACACAAACACACACACACACATATATATTCACATATACATACATACACACACACACACATACATACATACACACTACACAAAGCTAAATACTGAGGCCCAATTAAAAGATGGGGAGGTGGGAGTAGGATGGGGGGGGAGTGGGATCCATTATTAATCTATCAACCATTTCTATTGTGATTCTCCTTCACTGGAGCTCCAAACTAAGTGGCAGACCCAGGTCTTTAGGATCTTACTAAAGGTCAGGAAGATTGGAGCTGACCTCACTGGGGGAGGGGGGAGGGCAAGATGTTCCAAAGGGCAGGCACTGTTCATCTAAGAACTTTCTAAAAAGAAATAGTATCTTTGCTTTTAACATCATTGTAAAGAAGAATTCAAAGGCATGTATTTTCCATGTATTGTCCAATCACTTAAAAGTAGGTATAGTCTATGAATTAAGAATATTTTGAGGATTCAAGGGTTGGGGTAGACAAAGCTTGCTTTGAATGAAGCTGGTTCTAACACTGCATCCCCTTGCTTTAGTGATAATTGCCAGCATTCATATGTCACCTGCCTCCAAGAATCCTTGGTATTATGTAGAATAATCCTCATTCTACCTCCTTCCAGATCAAAGTTTTCTCACATTATCTGATGTAGTTGGTGAATGATACAGCTGATGCCCATAAAAGTATCTGCTGGAGTAGTTTATCAGCTTGAGAGGAGCTGATATTTAAGAGATGATGAGTGTATTTAATGAACCAAAGGCATTAATACTACGTATAGCTTTGAGATTGATGTTGAATTAGACAATACCAGGTTTAATCAATCAAATTATTACTTAAGTCACATTGATTTAAAAGGGAACTTAAAAACTAATTTACAAGGCAGTCCTGTCTCAAAACTGAGTCCTGCTAAAATCAATTGCCGTAGGTTTATACCCACCACTGTTCTTGTTGAGCTCTTGGTACTCTCTGAGCTTTGTAGGCAATATCATCAGTGCTTTGACATGGGGAAATGAGGTTGTTAACTGTTTATATATAGCAGCTTCCTTGAATTGTAGGCTTTTATGCAAAAATAGTTAGGGTGGAGGTTTGCCTAAATATGAATTTCTCTCATTTGTGTTCATTCTGAAGCATTTTGCACTCGTGCTTTGTTGCCGGTATAGATGAGGGAGAGTTCTTCACACATGTTTGAGTTCTTACTATTATTATTTATTTATTTATTTATTTATTTATTTATTTATTTATTTATTTATTTATTTATTTATTTATTTATTTATNGAGGGGCACCCACTATCGCTCGCGCGGCTGCATTCTGGACAAGCTGAAGTCTCCGAATACTCTTCAAGAGCTGCCCCATGTAGAGCACGTTGCAGTAGTCCAGTCTAGAGGTCACAAGGGTCACAAGGGCACGAGTGACTGTTGTGAGGGCCTCCCGGTTCAGGTAGGGACGCAACTGATGCACCAGGCGAACCTGGGCAAATGCCCCCCTGGTCATTTATGTTAATAAATTTTTGAATAAGTTACAAAAGAATCAAAGGACATTGGTATGGTTGTCTTGGTTGTTGCATATCTAAAACATAAATTGTTCAACAATACTAAAATGTTGGCAATTCTAAATGGATTTCCTTGGATACATTGAGACTTACTGATGATTAAACATATATAACATTATAATATCTGCTTCTTAAAAATTGCAGAGCATGGAGAATATGATCCACAAACTGTAAGACCAGGAAGTAGATACAGTCATGTTCAAGAAGTCCAAGAGCGGTTGAACTTTTTACGGTTAGTTTAAGCATAGTTTGTGTTGGGGGGGTGGGAAGATAAAAAAATAAATGTTCCTTAATGAGAGAAAATATATTTATTTACTTAGGTGAAGAACTGCATATTCTTATTGCAATATATGTAGAATAAGCTTATTCTGATTTGTAGACTTTATTGCAGAAAGATCCTTAGAAGAGATTATACTTCTTGCATCTTAATTTTGATCCTGTCAGTCTAATTGCCATTCATTTAATAAAGTATTGATATGCCTACCCCGTAACCTCTTTCAGATGGACCCATTTCATGTACATTTTTTTCACTAGAGTTCCTACAATTAGAATAATTACTTCATAGCCAAGCTACTCCAGAAGGATGGAAAAATAAGTAGGGTTCTTTTTTGAATAAATGGATCTTGATATCTCTTGATTCATCAAAACACATTTGAACAGCTAGTTTTAAGGATAAGAAATTAGTAAATATAAAATTAGTAAATATTAAAAAAAAACTTAGCTTGTCAGGTTTTGGAGGGAATCATCTTAAATGAAATGTAGTAATGTGAAAGTATTGATGTGCACATTATGTAATAATGCTAAATTATCTTTTTTCCCTTTTGGAAATTTCAAATTATTTGAATTTAGGTATATATGGCAAACTTTATTTTTAAAGTATTCATGAGATTAATACGTATTTCTAATGATTTGTTCCTTTGTTTTCTGCAAGATTTTTACTGAAGGATGGTCAATTATGGCTCTGTGCTCCTCAGGCAAAACAAATATGGAAATGTTTAGCTGAAAATGCCGTCTACTTGTGTGATCGTGAAGCCTGTTTTAAATGGTATTCTAAACTAATGGGAGATGAACCGGACTTAGACCCTGACATTAATAAAGACTTTTTTGAAAACAATGTTCTTCAATTGGACCCTTCACTGTTAACAGAAAATGGAATGAAATGTTTTGAACGTTTCTTCAAAGCTGTGAATTGTCGGGAAGGGAAGCTAGTAGCAAAGAGACGTGCCTATATGATGGATGACTTGGAGTTAATAGGACTAGATTACCTTTGGAGAGTAAGTGTAAAAAATATACTCTTAACTATTCAAATTGAGGCTGTCATTTACTTTCTGTTAATAGTATTAACGGTATTGAAAANGACAGTGCCTCCCACCCCCACCTCCCGCAGTCGTCGCAGAAGGATACCATGGTCGATGGTATCGAAGGCCACTGAGAGGTCAAGGAGCACTCGGACGGAGGCATAGCCTCCATCTCTGGCTCTCCAGGATATTTTTCTTGATGACCTGCTCTGATTTGATTAATGACAGAAACAGAAGTGATGTCATAAATCTGGTGTGATCATATGGTTTTTCATTTAGCAACCACAGCACTCAGCAATGGAGTTGCTAGTCCCAATTGAGGTTGATAAATGAAGAGTACCCATATAAGACATATACAGCTACTCATCTTAAAAGACACAACTCTGGGTGGCTCACCGAACTGTTACAAAACCAAAACACCATAAAATCAGTAAAACCAGAAAGCAGTAAAAGCTTTTGCTCTTCAACTGGTCACTGAGAAATCTACTCACGTAAGAAAGTTTATTGTACTTTTGCTGATCCTGGAGAAGATAAAATGAATAGACTTGGATAATGGAATGGTTTGTGCAAATATAGAGTTGAAAGTTGACTGTTGAAAGTGATAAAGATGGCATACAGTAAAAATAAAGCTTGAACAGAAATAAATAGAATGCTTAATGAATTGTTCAATATTGAACATTGTATGCCCTGCGTAATGTGTGATGAGTGTGGTGGTTGTTTAATGTATTTGCAGAATGCTTGTGGTTGGTTATATAAGGTATTGGATGACTGTATGTGTACTTTTGCATGCATACGATGCTGAACTGTTGGCTGAGAATGAATGCAGAAAATGTTAGATGATATGACGCAATAATGAATTTAAACATAGTATATTGAAGCCCAAGCTTGCTGTAGTTGACAGGGAAATGTATTGAGTAATTGCAAATTTACACAAAATTAGAGCAAGCAGTTGACAATTGTGTAATTTGTTTGAGAGTTCCAGTTAAAGCACAACAATAAATCCCTGTCTAGAAACTCAACCAGCACTCAAGAGCCACCAGTAGAAGAAGGATGGGCATCAGTCTGCAGAATTTTGTCAAAATGACTAAATATGCATTGTGATGTCATAAGGCAACTGTGCCCTTACCCTGCTTGCGTGTAAAATCACAGTGCGGGTGCAGAATGCATGAGTTTATGTTGTAACATTATAAACATAATTTATTCATTGCTCCCCTCCACCTTGCCTTAATATCCTTTATTGACATCCATTGAAAGAGTGAAGTAATAAGCTTAGAAAGAGAAGATGCTGTTACTGCAGACACAAGAGTACACTGATAGAAGAGAATATTTGTAGCTCATGATTGAACTGTGGAGTGCTTGGTGCTCTCTGAACTTGGGTGCTTTCTTGCAGATATTTCATTAACCAAGATAGGTAACATCATCAGTGTACACAAGTGTGCTGTAAAAATGAACAATCTAGCTTGTTGTAAGTAACAGCCTCAGGACTTAAATCCTAGGGCTTAGTCTACACTACCTGGTTACTCTGTCATCAAAACAAACAAGCTACCATTTCTAAAGAGCAGAGATGAATGATGTTTCTCTATTAATCCCATATTCACCTTCAAAGTAATCCTCTTATGTCATCTCTAATGCTCTTGCCTTTATAAGCTAAAAAAGCTTTAATTTGCTATTGGCTAACCTCAGTAGGTCATCGAAAACCTTGTAGAGGTACCACCATCTCTTTGGGCTTTCAAATGTTTCTCTTCTTTACTAGCACAGCTAACATGAAATGATGGTTAAGTTCTTCATTTATCATAGAGAGAGTTTCTTGTTTGAAATCAAAGAGAAAAAATATGAATTTTCTTTTCCTGAGTAGGTAATTAGTCCAAGGCTTTCCTTTTCCCCCCCTTATTACTTGAGGTGTAGGAAGCCATGGGATAACCTGTCCACAAACTGTTAACAACAGGTGCCTAAACATGCTTTGAACCAATGGTAAAGAGAAAGTATTAGAAAGAGAGATAGACAGCTTCCCCCTTTCAAGGATATGAGAGAAGGAAGGGAAAATGAGACTTTATCTTCCCACTCCTTTGTTGTAAACTGGGAGTGTCTTCTATCCCAAATGAACAAAGAAATGGCACAATCCTGGACTTTTTAAACAAGAAAAACAGAGGAGGAAAAAGTCAAAGAAAAAAAAACACCTAATTAAAACAATCTTTCTGTTGAGTTTCTCCATGCTAATTAAATATCTTCTGTATGCTAAGCAAAGTTCATAACCACTCTGCTATTTCAGCAATCCTAATTCAAAAGAAGAAAAAGCAATGTAAGAACACAGGCTGGAATCAAGGTTTAAAAGCTGCTTGTGGGCTGCATGTACAGTATATGGATGAATTTACATGCACACACAACAAAGCATATATGTCCAGGAAGACTGACACACAAGAAGGAATGCAACTGGTCACTGCTTTCTCGAAACGAAAAAGAGGGATGACACAGAACAGAGAAAGTAGGAATATTCATCTCAAACAATCTAAGCCCCAGAGCTCACTGTAACAGCATTGCCAAAAAGGCATTAAGAGTTGTTAACCTAATTTTGCGAAGCTTCTTCTCCGGTAGCATTGTATTGCAAACTAGGACATACAAAACCTTTGCCAGACCAATTCTCGAATACAGCTCATGGGTCTGGAATCCACACTGTATATTGGACATTAATACAATTGAGCGGGTCCAGAGGTATTTCATGAGAAGAGTACTCTACTCCTCTGCTCACAATAGAATCCCTTATGCCACCAGGCTCAAACTTTTGGGCTTGGACAACCTGGAACTACGCCTGACCTAAGCATAGTACACAAAATTGTCTGCTACAACATCTTATCTGTCAAGGATTTCAAGCTCAATAATACACAGGCAAAAAATAGATAAAAACTCAAGTTAAACCGCTCCAAACTTGATTGCAAAAAATACGACTTCAGCAACAGAGTGGTCAACATCTGTAATGCTCTACCTGACTCAGTTGTTACATCCTCAAACCCCCACAGCTTCAACCTTAAACTGTCTACTGTGGACCTCACCCCATTCCTAAGAGGACTGTAAAAGGAGGGTGCATAAACACACCAAAGTGCCCACTGTCCATGTCCTATTGTCCCCATTTATTTGTACTCATGTCCATATTCATACTTATACCTGCTATCTTGTACATATTTGACAAACTAAATAAAAAAAATTTCAAGGAAAGTCTTTACTTGAGATAAAAAATATTTCAATTGTTCACAAAACATCTCAGTCTAGACAAGATTTTCTTAAATTGGCCTAAATGCAAGCTGGCCTGAGCACAAGAGAGTGATACCTTAAATGGTAGGCATGGATATAACTAACTTTTTCTTCTGCTCTTATTTGATAATCAACTTCTTGCTGCTTCTTCCTTGGCCCTGGGTGTGGATGTTACTATATTTATGACACGAGTCCGGTCTGGCCTCAGATTCTTTGCTTCACGGGTGGGTTTCAGCTTCGGCTACTGTCGGTTCACTCAGGGATGCACTTTGTGTGTGTGCACACTTGATGCATGCTATGCGCGCAGGCACAGTAGTAAAAAAAAAGATGGCATCACCTATGGCGGTGCTGATAGAATTGGTTTGGGGGTGTGGCGGGCTGAGTTACTACTTACTCAGCAGAACCAGTCCCAAACGGTAGAAACCCACCTCTGCTTTGCTTCTGACCTTTGCAGCTTCATCCTTTATACCTTGGTTCAGGGGTGAAATCAACTTACCTTTGCTACCTGTTCGCAAATGTGAGCACACATGCAGGACCTTCCACGCATGTGCAAAGCATCAAAAGCAGGATGTGATGATGTCTGGGCGGGTGGGTGGAGCCTCCCACTGCCACTGCCACCACTGCCTTGGTAAGGTATTTATGAAATACAGGAATATGGAGGGAGTAACTTTACGATATGCAAATGCTGTTAATCGTGTGTAATATACCGTAAGGAATTAATGTTTCCCCCCCCCCCAAAAAAAAGGCTGCTTATAAAAACATGCTTATGTCCATTTTATTATATGGAAGTGGGAGTTCATTACATCAAGAGATACAGAAAACTAAGATGAAGGCCGTGGGAAGGGGATACTTTAAATGTGTGTGATAAAACGAGCGACAGGTTCATAAGTGTGAATTGGAAGAACTACAGGGGTGGGTTGCTACCGGCATTACTGCCGGTTTGGTGCAAAAAACATTTTGCGCAGAATGTGTGCGCATTTACACCAAAAAGTTTCTGCGCATGTGCATAACATTATAAAAGGGGGGAAAATTACATTTCTGCAATGGAGATTGTTCTGCACATGCGCAGAACCAAAAATCAAGATGGTGCTGCCGACAATAGAACTAGTTCAGATGCGTGGATGGCTGAGTTACTACCTACTTGGCCGAACCGGGCCGAACCGGTAGGAACCCACTTCTGCTACAGTGATGTACTTTTGTTTTCTCCAACTAGTAGTGAGATGTATCTTTTCACAAAATCTCATTTATTCATTCCATATCCTATGTCTATGGAGATTTTCAGTTTTCTAGTTCATGGAGGTCCCAAAGATGCTTTACCCCTAGAAATCCATTTTCCTCATTACCAAGGAGCTTGCCAGCATCTCATGCTCTGGGAACACCTTCTTACATTTAAGTACTTTAATTTGCCAACAGATTATATTGGGAGACCACTTCTTGGCCTGTCCACATTTGCTACTTAGGTCCGTTACCAGATTACACTCAGAGACTGATTGCCCCTTTACTACTTGTGTTGAGCTGCTAGATTTGCCAATCAATTGTCAACTCCAGGCATATTTCCTCCCAGGTATTCTGCATGTCTTTATAACAATCATCCATTTCGATTTCTAAAACATGGCCACTTTTTCCATTGGCCTTTCAGTCAGTTAAGCCGTATTAGGTGTGTCTTGGGTACTATACATCAATGTTTCTCAACCTTTATTGGGAAATTCTGGGAGTTAAAGTCCATATTTCTTAAAAATTGATGAGGTTGAGAAAGACTACACAGATCAGTGTTCTGTACCTTGTCCCCACCCCCTTTTAAATAGTAAGGCTGCTTTTTCAGCCATTCTTGCTTCTCCCTTTTTATTAGCTTGTAGGACACCATACAATTGATTACATTTGGAGCTGGGTAATGATTAGTACATCACATCTGGATTGAACATCTGCCTTAATTGCTTGCAAGATCTGATAAAGGATAGAAGGGGAAAGGAGAGAAAGAGTTAAAATGATCTGCAGCTTTTTATCATGGTGTATCTGGCAAAAGAAGCCTTTTTGGCTTCTCAGTTTGATTGTAAAGAGAGAATGAAAGGTAATCAAACTGCAAAACAAGTCCATGAAGACTGAATGAATGGTTTGAGAAGGAAATCTGTAAAAGCCATGGTTGGACTGAGTTGATTAAATCTTCAAAAAGAGAAAGTAGAGGAGGTTTTTTTTTTTAAGGCACTATACACGATTGAAACAAGGACAGTTTGCAAGGACAAAAAATATGAATGGAGTTCATACACATACCAAGGATGGGAGAAAAATATGTTGAAAGAAAAACACTGCTCCATAGCACTGTTGTGTTGCTTCAACAATGATGCCTACATTGTTGCTGCCCTAGTTGGATGTAGTGATAGTTACATACAGGATAGTGATTGTCAGGTGCCAGCCATCTTTCTTCCATCTAACCAGGGTCATCTGGTGAGAAATCCAGCAGAGAACTACAGTCATAAAGCAACTTTCAAAATTTGAGCGGTTTTTTTATTTTATTTCATAGTTATTTTGTCTTACATATGTGCTTATCATAGCAAAAAGGTCTACTACCTGGAGAATCACAGATGTTTTTGAACAGATCTAACCAGAGGTGGGCTACTGCTGGTTTGGACCGGTTCGCCCATACTGGTCGTTCTGACCACCAGCTGGGCCCGCCCACCCGCCCTGCGCTATCCTGTCCTATATAGTTCACTCTCTGGCTCGCTCGCCCCGCCCACGCAGCCCAGCTGATTTCCATGCCTCGCCTGCTCTACTCACTGTGGCTGCCTGAAAAGGTGTCTTGGAAGCCGCATGCATGAGATTGCCATGTGTTTGAAGCTGCATGCAAGCGAGGTGCACATTCACATTTTCAGTAGGTGAACCAGTTGTTAAATCTAAATCTGGATCTAGCTGTGGGGGGTAATGACCTCTGCAACTTTCCGTTCTTTATACCTTGGGACTTCACTGATTTGGAGAGGAAGATGCTCCAACACACAAGAGGACTGAAGGAAAAGCACCCACTATTAATGTTAGTTCTTCCTTAAAGACCCAAGAAATGGATTGTGAAAGGTAAAAGTGGTTGATCGTGATCTGCAGCTGCTTCCCACCTTTGTTTTCCTATTTCATATGTGAAAGGAATAGAAAAAGAAAACAATTATTAGGTAAAGTTCTGCCTTCCCTTTAGCAGTGAGAATTTTGACCATCACCGTGACTTGCTGTTGGTTGATATTCTCGTCTCCAACCACCATCCAAAAGACTGCACAAATGAGGTAAATGAATCTGTTCCTCCCCAGCTAAAGCTAAAGTGGCCAATGAGGCACAGAGCCCAGCAGCCAGATGGGAGGGTTAGTCCCTCAGCTCAACTACAAGGCCAATTGGCATCCAGCTGACTTCTGAAGGCTTCTCCTCCCTATAACCTAGGAACAGTAATGGTGAACCTTTGGGGCTCACCATATCCAAAATTTGGAAAATTCTTAACTTGGATTTGCTCCCCCATCCTCCCCCCAAAAATATTTATATGTACATTATTTTTTTTATGAATACATTCCACTCATGGGTGGGATCCCAGGATCTGATGCATGCCTCTTACCTTCAAACAATGTTCTTCTTATGTTGACAAGCTCCTGCAGCCTAGCCAAGGTAGCTCTGGGTTTCATGAAGCCTTTGTTCTTGAAGAAGTTTTTCAGAATACTCTTTCCTGGTCTTTGCAGCCTCTGACACACAAAAGCACGCCCCCATTCTCATATGATATTTGGAGGCCCCCAGGATCTGAGGCTCTGAGGCCATGCACACTCCATTCACGTGTGGCCTCTGCAGGAGGGGTGAAGCTGAACCGGTAGAGACGATTGTCCTTGGTTCTGCAAACCAGTAGTAAAAAAAAAGCTTCCAAGGATTGCGCGCTCAGCTGTGAGCTGTGTGATCGTCGGAAGCTCTTTTTTCTGCTTTTTAAAGCATTTTTCCCTACCAGCAGGGAAAAATGCTTTAAAAAGCTTTAAAAAGAGCTTCCGACGATCACACAGCTCACAGCTGAGCGCGCAATCCTTGGAAGCTTTTTTTTTACTACTGGTTTGCAGAACCAAGGACAATCGTCTCTACCGGTTCAGCTTCACCCCTCCTGCAGAGGCCACACGTGAATGGAGTGTGCATGGCCTCAGAGCCTCAGATCCTGGGGGACTCCAAATATC